TGTTTTTACTGCCCTGTCCCAACTGTTCCCTTCATTATTTCCTTACATGAATGGTGTCTCCAAACAAGCTGTATCCTCTCCAACACTAAATGATGTCTCTTGTACACAAGGCATTTTGTGTTGGAAGATGTTCCTGTAATTCTTATTCCTCTGGCTCCTTTAGGAATGATTCTATCATCTGAGCAAATAGAGAATTTTCTAAGTAAATAGCAACTACCTCTTATCTCCCTTCTTCTCTCTTAAAATTCTCTTCATGCATCACAGCCTAGTTCCCCTGTCATCTCCTCCATGAAAATTGATCTCTATCCTGTACTCTTTTAAGGGGCTCACAGTTTTGCTCTGAGCTGTGTGTGTGTGCATGTCTGTGTTTGCGAGGTGGGGTGAGAGGTAGGATAGTGCATAGAATAGCCTTTGTAGTCAGACATCTAGGTTCTCATCAGCTCTGCCATTCACTTGCTCTGCAACTTTGAGTGATTACTTAACCTCTGTGAGTCTTAAATTTCTCATCAGTAAAATGAGGATGAGAGCACCTACCTCACAATGCTATTGTGGGAGTTAAATAAACTCACTGATCATTGAACTCGGCAAATACCGGTCATTTGGCACATGCTTGCTCAAACAATAGTGGTGGGATTGTTATGATTTTGCGCCCACTTGTTTATTAATTCTCCAGTTACTTCTTGAGCACCTACAATGTGCTGTATGTGGTCCTAGGCACTTGAGGAGGCACAAATGAACAAAACACATATGTCCACCCTTGAGGGGATACAATTCTATATAGTCTCGTATAGAATTATACGAGTGCTAGACAGTAAACAATATATGCAACAATTAAGCATATTTTACAGTATATTAGAAGGTAATAAGTGCTGTGGAATAAAGAAAGATGTCAAGGAAGGTAAGTGATTGGCAGTATTTGGGGGTAGGTATAGCAGTCAGCTACTGCTGCGTAACAAACTGTCATCAAACCTGATGGCCTTAAACACTGTCTGCTATGGAGCCCATAGTTGTATCACTCTGTGCAGTTTGGGCTCTGCTGGTGCCCTCCTGGTCTTGGCAGTTTTTTCTTGTCAGCTTGTGGTTGCCAGCTGGTCTAGGAGAGCCTCAGTTAGGACAGCTCTGTCCCCTTCCCCATGGTCTCTCCTCCTCCAGCTGGCCGGCTCAGGCTTCCTCTCATGATGGGAGCAGGGTTTAGGAGAGCAGATGCGCACATGTCCTCTACTGGGAGGCCACCTGACTTCTCTGCTGCATCCCATGGGCTGCCTGTTAGAGGAAGGAGAGCTGAGAGGTGACTGTATGAAAGGTGTGGGCACTGGAGGCAAGGACAGGCCACTCTGGCCACATGTGCCACCCATCTGTCTCAGTGTGGAGGGTGAAGCTGCAGCATGAAATAGGGTGGCCTCCTTGAGAAGGTGACACGTGGCTAAGACTTGAAGCCAGAGAGTGGTTCCTGGGGAGGAGGGTCCCAGGCAGGGGGCCCAGGGTAGGTGCGTGCCTGGGACAGCAGAAAGGGCAAGGGGTGGGACTGGAAGGTAGTGGCCAAAGAAGAGGACAGAGATCACCAGGGACCTTTCACAGAGTGACCTGCTGAGGAGGCCCTGAAGGGATAGGATCTGGCTTGCATTTGCAAAGGGTGATTTTGGGTCCTATATTGAGACTAGGTTGTAGGGGACAAAGGTCAAAGTGGGGAGACCTGCCTGGAAGCTTGTGGGGCATATAGGGAGAGGATAGGGGCTCAGGCTGGGGACAGTCACAGTGCCTACCTCCTCGGCATGACAGGGACCTTCTGGGCTGTTTTGAGACTTGAGTGATGTTGTGATGAGGCAGTGTCAATGCCCAGAATGTGGCCAGGGTTTAGCAATTGAACAAAGGCCATGTTTTTTATTTTTGTTGTTCAGTTGCTCAGTTTTGTCTGACTCTTTGGAACCCCATGGAATGCAGCATGCCAAGCTTCCCCATCCTTCACTGCTTCCCAGAGTTTGCTCAAACTCGTGTCTGTTGAGTCGGTGATGCCATCCAACCACCTCATCCTCTGTTGCCCCCGTCTCCTCCTGCCCTCAATCCTTCCCAGCATCAGGGTCTTTTCCAGTGAGTTGGTTCCTTTCATCAGGTGGCCAAAGTGTCGGAGCTTCAGCTTCAGCATCAGTCCTTCAGTGAATATTCAGGGTTGATTTCCTTTAGGATTGACTGGTTTGTTTTTATTAAGGTGACAGATTTAATGATTACTGCTTCAGAAGGAATCTCTTTTGGACCTTTTAGACCCGGCATTGTGGTCCTGACTGCCTTGCATGGCTGCTCCCTCAGAGACCAGAGTGGCCTGAGGGTGAGAACTTGATTTTCACCAGCTTTCCTGGCTTCCCCAGCCCCACACTTAACATAAGGAGTCCTGGGGACTGGGTCGAGTGAATTCACTTTGCTGTGAAGTCAACAGGACAGGAGCTGTGTCTTAATTACCTGTCCACACAGGGCACAGTCCCGTCGCACCCAGGAGGTCCCTTGGATCGAATTACACTATTTTCTTGTCTTCACCTAAATGTAGAATGTTTGCTTCTGAATTAGATGACCTCAAGGGCCACCCAGTGTTCGTGATTGCAGCTGGTTTCCTGCCAATTTGCTCCTCCTCATACACAGGGGCTTGAGCCATCCTGATTTACAAGATTATTCACCTTGGAGCCCAGGAGAGGGAGGCAGAGTACATCAGAAGGGTGCTTACGTGGGAGCAGCATTTCCGGGCGTCTGTCTTAGTCCCTGTTGTTTTCAATCAGACCCCTTGAGGGCAACTGCCCTAGGACGTGGAAGTAAGGTCAGCATCTCCCAAGCTTCTCCCCCTCCTCCCTTACTCTTCCCCCCTTTCCTCCTCACTTCCTTACTTCTGCCTTTGTACCCCTTGCAGCCCCTTTCTCCCACTTTTCTCTCCCTCATCCCTCTTTTTCCTTTCCTCCATCTGATGCTCCCTCGACACACCTGAGCTGCTGTCCCGGAAAGAGGTTGCTTGGGACTAGGAAAGAAGCAGTGGCAGAAATGAGAAAGGATATAACTGAGGACCATCTTTCTAGGAACAGTGATGGGGCAAGAGGCAGGGTGGGGTGGGACCCAAGTACCCTTTGGATCTCATGCTCTTTGCTTGGGCTTCCCCTTAGTCCTGGCTTGTGTCTGCTTTTCATAGCAGCAGTCCTGATTCACACTTCCTAGATGCTGAGTCCTAGGGTAATTGATGTGTGAAACTTATCTCACAGTCCTGCCAAGGACTCCAGGAGATAGAAGCCTAAGCTCAGACCTGTGATACACCTAGGGCCACACAGCTGGAGAGCAGTGAAACCAGGATCAGAACCCTGGAAGTCCCAGTGTAGATCAGTGCCACCTCCAGCTGTCAGGCACTTGAAGTGTGGCAGGGTGGAACGGAGGTGAGATTTCGAAGAATTAGACTAACCAAAGGATGTAGAATATTGCCTTAATACTTGTTCTTACTGATTCCTTGCTGGCAGGATCATTTTTGGGGGCTATAGTAGGTCCAGTAAAATCTATTAAAGTTAATTTCTTATTTTCATTTTTACTCTCTTTAGTGGACTGTTGTTGTTTAGTCACTAAATTGTGTCTGACTCTTTTGTGACCTCATGGACTGTAGTCTTCCAGGCTCCTCTGTTCACGGGGTTTTCCAGGTAACAGTATGGGAGTGGGTCGCCATTTCTTCTCCAGGGGATCTTCCCGACCCAGGGATCAAATCCATGTCTCTCGCATTGACGGGCAGATTCTTTATCACTGAGACACCTTGTAGGCCCATTCTTTTTTTTTTTTTTGGTGGAATAACAAATAACTAGTTACTTTTGTTTATTCTGCCATCATTTATATTGTGATTACATACATATTTGATGTGCAAATTCAGTATTGAAATCTCAGATGCTACTCAAGAGGCCAGGATTTTGTTCTAAGCCAATGAAGTATAACTGTAACTTTTCTACTAGAAAGTAAGCTCCATGAGATGTTCTTTGTCTGAGTTAGTCTTCTGTATTGTTTTAAATAAAAATACATTAAATTAATGAATGCTGACTTCCAACAGCCTATTCTAAAAGGAAAAATGTCAGACAACAACAAAGAACCATTGTCTAAGAAAAACCCAGGTTCCTTCCTCTGCATTAGAAACAAGCATCTTTTCATGATGCTATCTTGAGACATTTTAGCTCAGAATTTCTAGTCCATGAGAAGGTGGTACCATGCTTGACATCCATACAGTTGGTTAATGTATGATTAATTTTTAAGCCCATTCTTTAATGAACTACCAGGTAACTGAAAATCACAAGTCGCATATAGGCTTGCCTTGTAGTTCCACTGGAGGGTACTGGTCTAAACCTTAGGTTTCAGTCACCACCTTACACTGTGTCTGGGTAGCTGCACCCTCCTGCATCACCCCAACTCCACCCTGAGCTAGACTTGAAGCTTCTCCAAGGTGCGACCCAGGGCTCACCCACCTTCTGATTTTCCCTGGCTCCTTACATGGGTTGGAGCACAGACTAGGTTTAGGTTTTTGTTTCTGTTTGCTTTTTATTTTAAAAGCATCACAAATTCTCTGGAAGTTGCAAAACTTGTGTAGATGGTGATAGATACCCTTCACCTAGCTTCCATAGATGACAGACGGGGTTTTAAACAAATGTGTGTTGATTGACTCAAGCATGCATTAAGTGGGTGTTGCTCTTGTCTACCCTTAGGAATGCCAGGCTTCTGGAGTTGAAACCTGGGTGTGGAGGATTATTTCAGTGATACTTTGGAAGTCCCGTTGGCCCCAGTAATATGCCAAAATGACAATCTGGCATCACCGTGGTGGTCAGAGTGGTATAGATACAAGTGATATAGTGATATAGACATAAGATGGTGTAGACGCAGACACAGTGTGGCCTAGAGGGAAAATGGAGAGGCCTGGGGTGGACTGCCTGAGTCCAGTACGGTCTTCACCATCGTGACCCGTGATCATGCACTTCACTCCCCAGGCCTCACTCTCCTTGTCTCTAAATGGAGCCGATGACCTTGGCCGGTGGTTTGGATGAACCAAGAGAGTGCAGGCAAATTGCAAAGTCATATGCATTCTGTAGGTTGGGGTTGCAGGTAGGGCAGCGAGTGACAGCTTCCCCAGCTAGCCGGCCCCTCAGATCTCCGTTCAGATCTTCAGTTCCTGTTTTCTTAAGATCAGAGAAGGGTCTTTTCTTGGCAGGGATGGATCTTCTGTCCGCTGCCAAGAACAGATGCAGCCAGTACCCTGCACCTGCCAAGGCTGGCAGTGCTTTTCCCCACAGGGCCTCAAACACAGATGGGTGGGTGACCTTGGCATTGAGGCACATGTTTCTCGGTAGCTGCAGGAGGTCAGGCGTAGTGGGGAGCATGGTCGCCAGCCTGTCCCCTCCTGCACAGGAGCTGTGCATCACTGGTCCCCAAGGCAGCAAGGAAGGAAACCATGGAAACCATGGAGATGGGGCAGAAGGCTCCTCCTGCTTGGCCTCTGAGCAGCCCCTCCGAGGACTGCCGCAGTTGCAAGTCTCCGGGGGCCTCCTCCTGCCCCCAGCACCATTATCCCAGGGCATTCATTCACCACCGTGATTTCTTACAGAGAAAATGACTCGTCTGAGAGCCCAGTTTTAAACTGCTAAGTGGCAGTTCCAGGCACCGAGAAGCCTGCTGCCCTGCAGGTATTCAGTTTAGGCAGGTGAGATAGTATCATCTTTCAGGGCATTCTGGACTTCACATCCACTTCCTTGGGTACCTGCATGGCCATTCCCGGGGGAACTGGGATCATCTGAAAGTGTTATTTCAACCAGGGTGGTTTCCAGCAAGTGGCCTCTGACTTCCCTAAGCTGAGGTGTGAGGGGGGTGGGGGGCGGCATGGTGCAGACTTGCTGTGTTTGGGAGATGGTCTGTAAAGAACCAGGGCTTTGGAGCTTGTGCTATGGATCCCTGAAATATAAAATGGGTGAGAATCCGTAAAGAGGAGCCACCTCCTCCATGTTTTATAATCCTAGCTGCCAAAAATCTGTCTTTGATCTGTCTGTTCTGCCCTTCCTTCATCCTTCACGGCCAAACTCCTCAAAACATTTGCCTCTACTTCACTGTCCACTCTCCAGCCCCTTCCAGCAGGGTCTGGTCTCCACTGTCAAGGGCACTGACAATCTCTATTTTGCTCAGTCCCATGGTTGCTCCTCCCATCTGATCGTGTCCTCCTTGAAATACTTTCTTTTCCTGGTTTATGTGAAACCAGACTGGTCTATGTTTTTTGTTTTTTCCTGACCACCCTCACTACTTCTTCCCAGTTTTCTTTGCAGGCTCCTCTTCTTCAATTTGAACTTTGAATGTTGAACCATCCAGGGACCTTGTTGCTCAATTTCTCCTCTGTTGCTGCTCTCTCCCCAGGTAATATCATCCAATCTTGTGGCTTTAAGTGCCATGCCCTTTGTGATGACACCCAAATCTGTAAGTGCAGCCACAGCCTGCCTGCTTCGATCCCATACTCAATTACATGGTTGACATCTGTACTTTGATTTCTAATAAACATCTCAAACAGCGAGTCTCAAGTGAGATACTTGTTCCCCTGAAAATTCTCTTCCTCAATCCTCTCTATTTATTCATTTATTCAACAAATATTTCTTCAGCATATTCTATATACTGGGGAGTCTTCCTGAGATACGGCAGTAAGAAAAAACAAGTTCCTCCCCTTATGGGGTTTCTATTATAGTTAAGGGGTATTATGGGCTTCCTGGATAGCTCAGTTGGTTAAAAAAAATCCACCTGCAATGCAGGAGACCCCGGTTTGATTCCTGGGCTGGGAAGATCCCCTGGAGAAGGGATAGGCTACCCACTCCAGTATTCTTGGGCTTCCCTTGTGGCTCAGCTGGTAAAGAATCTGCCTGCAACATGGGAGACTTGGGTTTGATCCCTGGGTTGGGAAGAGCCCCTGGAGAAGGGAAAGGCTACCCCCTCCAGTATTCTGGCCTGGAGAATTCCATGGACTATATAGTCCATGGGGTCACAAAGAGTTGGACATGATTGAGTGACTTTCACTAGGGTGTATTATGGATTGAACTGTGTCCCTGAAAAATGCATATGTAGAAGTTCTAATCCCCAGTACCTCAGAATGAGAACTTATTTGGAAACAGTTTTGTAGATATAATTAATTAAGTTAAAATGAGGTCTTACTGGAATAGTGTGGGCTCCTGATGCAATAGGACTGATGTCCTTATAAAAAGAGGAGATAAATAAAATTTAAAATATACTATGTTTAAAAAAAAGAGGAGAGTTGGACACAGATGAACCTGGAGGGAGAACAACATCATGTGAAGATGAAGGTAGAGATCAGGATGCTGTTTCTGCAAGCCAAGGAACCCCGAAGATTGCTAGGAAACCACCAGAAGACAAGGGAGAGACAAGGAGTAGGTTCCCTCTCATAGCCCTCGGAAGGAAGCAACCCTCTTGATACCTTTATCTTGAACTTCCAGTCTCCAGGACTGTGAGGCAACACATTTCCACTCATCTTGTGAATCTTTGTTACAGAAGCTTGAGTAAACTCGTACAGGGTGAACAAGACAAATATTACAAACAAACCCAAGTATCCAGGATGTCAAACAGGGGTGTACATTATGGAGAAGAACAATTGAAGGGAGTTGCAGAGCACTTGGAGGGGAAGAGGTGGTTCTTTTATAGATGGTGGTCAGAGCAAGCCTCCTCGATGGAGTGACTCTGGGCTGGGGACCCAGGGGAGGAAAAGGAGTGAGCCATGCGGATATTCACAAGAAGAGTATTCAAATGACAAGGAAGAGAAAGTTCAGAGACCCTAAGCTGTGCACTGAGGCTCAAGCCCAGATCCTTGGAGGCATCCTGACGCCTTCCACATCCAGCCCTACTGTGAGTCTTGTTTGCCCTGTGTTCAAAATATATCCGGTATTTAGCTCTTCCCCCTGATGTCACCTGTTCTAGGCCACACTCATCTTTTGCATGGATTGTTACACAGACCTCATCATTTGTCTTCTGGCTTCCATTCTTCCACACTCACATCCATAGCCTGTTCTCCACACAGCAACCAGAGTGACCCTCTCTAATAGTAAATCTGATCATGTCTCTCTTCTGCTCACCAGCTCTGAAGTCTTTCTGGCCCCCACTGAGTAACAGCCAGGCCTTACCTGGTCCACCTCTGAGTGCATCATGCATCATGCTTCTCCCCCCCGCCTCCTCCAGCCCCCTTAGCTGATGTGCCAGGGAGGGAACACGGCAAATTGGCTCCTCCCTCCAGTTCCCTGCACTGTTCCCTCTCTTCAGAACTTCTCCCCAGCACTTCATGGGGCTTAATTCTTTGCATCATTCAGACCTAGACTCACCTGCTACCTGGTCAGTTCTCCAGGCTGAGGTTTCACATGATGTCAGTCTTCTTTTGGAGGACAGATGACTGGACGTGCACCCTACGCTATACACCACCAGATAAATAGTTTCAGGTTGGCTCTACGTGTGATTTGAGCATTTTGGACTGCATTGTCTTCTTAAGAATATTAATTAATCTATTTATTTATTTTTGGCTGCATCGAGTCTCAGTTGCGGCACGTGGGATCTTTTGTTGCGGCATGCGGGCTCTGTGTTGTGGTGCGTGGGCTCCAGGGTGCGCGGCTCTGTACTTGAGGCACACAGGCTCTCTAGTTGCGGTGTGCAGGTTCAGTAGTTGCAGCATGTGGGCTTGGTTGCCCCTCAGCACATGAGACCCTAGTTTCCTGACTAGGGATTGAGCCTGTGTCCCCTGCATTGGAAGGTGGATTCTAAACCACTGGACCACCAGGGAAGTCCCCTGGACTTCTTTGTCTTTTGGATTAAAATATAATGACCGATAACAGTTAATAATTTCTAATTCCTAAAATGATCCTGGCATGTAGGCAACTCCCATTTTATAGAAGAGGAAACCAAGACCCAGAGTGGTTAAGAAGCTTGCCTCAAACCACATCGCTGATGAATACCAAAAATGTAGGTAAAACCTTGGTTTATTTGATGCCAAAGAAAATTCCACTTTGCTAAGTGGATTGATGTTCCCATTCCTTTGTCACTCATGTCCTAGACTCCAGGAATATTTAGTCTAGAAAAAAGAAGGCTGAAAAGTCAAATAATTATATTCTTGGTTTTTTAAGCAGAAGGAATATTCCAGATACCATCTGTTCCTGGTCTCTCTTCTCATGAGAGAAAATGATAACTGTGAGTGAATGACTAAGGCATTAAATATTAGCAGAGAGCATTGACAAGGGCTGGTAATAACTCATAATTATGGAGGGTGCCCTAGGAGCCTGGCTGTGTGCTCAGCCTGTCTACACCTCGCCTAATCTTATGACAGCTCTGCTGATTTGATTCTCACTTTATAGATGAGGAGACTTAAGCTCAGAAGTGAAGTCACACACCTGTGTTTAAACAGTTTGGACGTGCTATAGCAGGGGTTTAAATCCAGAGGTTTTGACTCTCAAGACTTCACTAATGATGAAGTGGTGGACTCCGGGTCACCATCTGTGAGCTCTTGTTACTGTCTGCAATGAATGAAATCTGCTCAAAGGCAGGGAAATGGGTGATATGACCTTTTAAGATTACTCTCTCTCAGGGGAGTTCCATTTTCCTTGACAATGAGTTTCTTTGAGAGACAAAAGTCATGGGGCTTTGCCTGGTTCTTCTACCCTGATTTACTGGCATGGCCTCTCTGCCTGCTTCCTCTAATCTTTATCTAAAATAGGCCATCCTGTCTCTCTTACAGGGTTGTGGCTTCTGTCTAAGCCATTCACAATACTCAATCATGGAGAAAAAGACTTCAGGTGTAACAGTTTTCTAATTGTGATGATTGTAATGAGAACTGAAAGTGGCAGTGCTGACTCAAACCTCATTATAGATTTGAGTAGGCATGAAGAGTGATGTATTTTGTGGATCATTTGTCTGTTGCCACAAACCAGCCCTAAACTGTGCTGAAACAGTGTTTGCTCAGCCCACTCAGGATGGGTACTTTAGGCTGGGCTCAGTCGGGAGGTTCTTCTGCTCTCTGCTAGACTCCCCACTTGTCTGGGAGCTTGCTGGTTGGTGTCTGACCTGGGATGCCTTGGCTGGAATGACAGCTCAGGTCTTCTCCACTGTCTCTCACGTATGCCTCCAGGCCAACTGGGCATGTCCGCATGGCCCAACATAGTTGTAACAGTGAGAAAACTTAAATGTAATAAACAGCAAGTGGAAGCATGCATGTGTTTTTTAAAAAATTTTATTTAGTTTTAATTGGAGGATAATTGTCCATGTGATTTTGAAGCCTCTCTTTTCTTCATCTTTGCTAATACCTCTTAAGCCATGGCAAGTCATAGGGCTGAGTGTGGAATTAGAATCAGGCTAATTC